CCCAAGGAGGACCCTAAAACCCATAGCCATGGAGAAGTCTCAATAGCCAAGTTCAAGGCAACTTTTCACCCAGAAACCTAATTTGAGTTAACATCCAGATATGTCTTTTAGGCTGGACAGGCAAGTTTCACAAGCACTCATTAGGGAGAACCCACCATCCTTTCAGGTGGAAGGCATTATCCCCTAACAATGCCTCCATATATCTAATAATGGAGCCAAAAGTTGTACAGTTCCTCACCTCTGTCCTTCTCCCGGAAACTCATTCATACTGGCAAACAGCCATTGCCACCCATTGTCTTCACACATCATTAGCACCCATTGCTTCAAACAATTTTGGTCCAACTTACCTATCCGAACGTATCTCTCCTTATGAACCATCTAGGATGTTAAGATTTTCTGGGGAGGCCCTGCTCTCGGTCCCACCTTCCTCGCAGATGCGTTTGGCAGGGACGAGAGACAGGGTCTTCTCAGTGGTGGCCCCTCGACTGTAGAAACGCCCTGCCTAGGGATGTAAGATCGTCCCCCTCCCTCCTGACTTTTCAAAGAACAGTGAAAAAACCTTGCTTTTTGAACAGACCTTTCCAAATACAGCATAGTCATATGAAATCATGGAACCACTTGATGATGCAATTGAATATTGACTTGACATGGAGACGCTCATGATAATGTTTTTAAGGCTTTATACAGTTTTGTATATTCTTATGTTGTATGCTAATGTTTTTAACGGTATTTGATGATCTTTTATTTTTATGTCAGTTTTTGTAGCCCAGTTTCTGCTGACATCCACTTTGCCCAAAATGAATAAATGCCTCTGTTCTTTACCTTCATCTCACCTGTGTCTTATTTGGTAGGGCTGGGCGGTTTCGTTTCGTTAATTTGTAATTCGTCAAAAATTCGTTATTTTTTTTTATAACGAAGCGATAACGAACCATTCTGGAGCAACTTAAAAACGAAACGAATTTTTAAATTCATTTCGTAAATGCTTCGGATTTGTTATGTATTCGTTTCGTTATCGGTTTGAGGTCGTTTCGTTATTATTTCTGCATGTCTGGGGCAAGTTTTATAGTTGTTTTTTGTTTAATTAGTGAAAAAAAAATATAATATCACACCAACAGTCAACAACAGAGGGAGAGGGAAGCTTCAGAAGTTCCCCCTGTCCCATTTGGAGGTTTTTTAGCATATTGCGCGGTCGCGTCCGCCATTAACGAATCGATTCGTTATTGTTTCGTATTTGTTTCGTTAATGTTTCGTAATTTTTTTAACATTTACGAAATTTCGTAAATATCAAACTTTTTAAAAGAAAAATTTCGGAATTCTTTTAAATATCGAAACGCAAAAACCCCCAAAAAACGAATCGATTTTAGAAACAAATTTTTCCGTGGTTGCCCAGGCCTATTATTTGGTTCTTTGGGGAGCATGACATGCCAGGTTTCCTAACACATGGTTCTTGCGGAGCTGGAATCACCCAACAATATCATGTAGCTACATCTTGAACCATGGGAAGAGGTGGGTAAGAAATAAAATTATTATTATATTATATTATTATCCTCATAGCTTCCAATGCAGTCTACAAAACTCACCTTGTAAGTAGCTTAACTTCCCCAGCACTCTCATTTCTCTGTTGTTGGAAAACAGGGAGACAAGCAGAGATGCACCCTGCTATGTGCTATTTCCCTGCAGCTATACATACTAGGGTTGTGCCTGGATTCATTTTAAAAAATAGTATTTGGCTTATTTATACGCCCGTAACAGCAAGTGCTCCACAGCCATGTTTTTATCAGCCACAACAGAACAGTGGCTGCCAAAAAATGTCCAATTTCAGTTTCTTTCAGCTGCACATGGAGTGCAGGGAGGAAGGCAGCCGCTAGAAGGGAAACAATCCCAGAAAGGGTGTTTCCTTAAGCCCTTGCCTTAAACCCAGGTCTCCCTGAAAGACAGAAGGGAAAGGATCCCTGGAAGGATCCTTAAGCCCATGCCTTTAATTCAGGTTTCCTTGGACGGATCTAGACAGCCCCTTTATTGTGGAAACTTCTGCAGTAAAAAGGAGGCTGTCCAGACAATGTTCTGGGCAAACTGGAATTAATCTGTCCGAACGTATCTCCTTCTACGTCCCACCTCGGAGCTTAAGATCTTCTGGGGAGGCCCTGCTCTCGGCCCGGTCTCTGTCTCAAATATGCTGTGGAATTCTCTCCCTGGGGAAATTAGGTTAGCTTCATCCCTCCTCTCCTTTAGAAAGAAGTTAAAAATGTGGATGTGGGACTAGGTCTTCGGGTAACTATGTGGACAATGGCTACAATGACAATGGCTATGGATAATGGACTATGGATAAGTTCGATGGAGTCTCCAACCACAGAATTTGGCTAGATAATGGCCACCAGACTGGTATTTGTTAATAGTTTTAATTGTATTGATTTAATGTTTTTGACTATATATAATTATTGGTTTGTTATACATTTCATTATGTGTACATTAAGGCATCGAATTGTTGCCGGCTGAAAGCTGCCCTGAGTCCCCCCTTCCCCAGAAGGTTGAGAAGAGTGGGGTACAAATATTCTAAATAAATAAATAAATAAATATATCTGCCACAAACCAGGAAAACCTAGGAAAACCCTGGTTTGTGGTGAATTAATTTGATAGTGGGTTTATTCCGCTCCTTCTATTCCGCGCGGAATAAACCCACTACTTCTGGTATCTGAACTGCAGAACACTGCAGGCCAGACAGTATTCTCACAGTTTTCCGGGCTAAATTAGCCCTGAAAACTCTGGAATACTAACCCCTCCGCAGAAGCACCCTTAAACACAGTAAAAAAAGAAGAAGAAAAGAACTCATCCAGGCTCCGTCTTATGGAGCCTGGGTGAGTTCTTTTCTTTTTTTACCTTATTTAGTGGGACTTCTGGGGAGAGGGTGTCAGGTTTTACAATGTATTATAATGTAATAAACTGAGTCGTGCACTGCTAATGGGCTTCTGCTGGGAATACTGAGTCATAAATTGATTGTATATGAGGAATCATTTGGGGAATGTGTTCTGGCCTACTCCAGGTGATTGTGAATGATGCAATCCTGGGTTTGGGTTGGGTCAATTTGTGCTGGTACAGCTGTACCAGGAGCTCCAATTCTGTTTGCTTTGCATTAAGTGTTTGTTTGCAATCCCAGGCTTGGGATTTTGCAGCAGGGTGGCTTCCTGTTATAGTTTGCAATCATAGGGCAAGCCACCTGTCAATTATCGTTAGGTTCCCTGGTCCCGCCCCTTTTTGAGTTTTGGAGGGAATAGGAGCATTTTTGAGTCACAGAGAAGCCTTTCGCACAGGACATAAAACTAAGAGCTCCTGTAGAAAGCTTCGTCTTCTACGGCTTGGCCGGGGAGATATACAGTCTACGGCTTGGCCAGGGAGATACAGCCCCACAGCTTGGCTGAGGATCATACAGCCTTTCAGCTCCTTTGCTGAGGGACTTCAGCCAGCCATCACAGCAACCTGAACTCCTTCTTTTCCCCTGGAAGTCTGCAAAGCTCTGCTTGGTAAGGCTCGCTCGCGGGTGCAGGGGCTCCATGCCAACAGAGGCAAGTACAGACTGCCCAGATTAGAAGTTAAGGATTTCCCCATTAGTTAGTATACAGTTAAGAAGATAGTGCCTGTTCCCAGTGAACAAGATTGCAAGAGCCAATAGACTGTTAAGAATGCTTTGAAGTACCTGTTTGTTTCATCAATAAAGAACTTTGTTGGATTTACTTTAAGCCTTTACAGAACTTTGTTTTGGGGAGGTCCAAGGGCCTTTAATCTGAGGCATCCCCGGCATCCCGTTGGGCACACAGAATTTATGTCCTGTCTACAGTCATATGCACAGGCCCAGCGTGCGACAGCACACAATTAGTTGGTAACCAATCAGAGATTGCAATGTGTAAATGAATTGTATATAAGGAAACCATGTACAGTGTATATTTCTTCTTGTGTTGTGATGTTGTTTTGTCGAAGGCTATATGTAATTAAAGAACCTGTCTGGGAGGCTAAATTAACTAATTTATGAGGCCATAAAAAGGACTCCAGCAGGGCACTCCAGCGGAAAGCATGCGGGGAATGTAAAGGTGCTTCATCAGTGTCGCAGATGGACGATGGAGGCGACAGCTCCCCTGGCGGCCAGAAAAAGTTAAATAGCCTCTGTGTATGTCTGTATATGTTGTATGTTAAAATTGGCATTGAATGTTTGCCATATTTGTGTATGCTGTGATCCGCCCTGAGTCCCCTGAGGGGTGAGAAGGGCGGAATATAAAAGCTGTAAATAAATAATAATAAATAAAGATACTCTCCCCTGCAACTTGTTTTTCTCCAGTGGGTTTTAGGGCTGGGCATCATCACAGCTTCCTGATCACAAAAAGATTGCAACAGAGCATTTTGTGTATCAACTGGGAAGAGCAACATAACCTACAAAACTTGCAAGCTATCCTACATATGCAGTGCTGGAAGCACAAGAAGGATCAACCCAACTCATGGATGCTTCAAAGGGAGAATTGTTCCATTACAGTGCTCTTGAGGACTCCGGGGACTTTATCATATTAGACGAAGGATTTACCATGCATCGTGGCGAATCCATGGGGGTCCCAGCAGGTGGTGTGGAGAACCGGTCACTCCACGTCCCACATTGCCTGCCTTAATTTGACCCCCATTCCAAAAAGGAGACACAGGCAGAAGACAACAAGGAATCCACACAGGACATGGACTCCTGCTGTGAACGGTTCAAGTTCACCTGGCTTCCCCATTGCTCCTAAGAAAGCCTCGCGTGTTGTTGCTGTTTCAGCATTCGTCGCTTCCTCTCCTCTTTCACCACAGAGCTCAGCTGAATGTTGATGGGCACTGTGAGAAGGACTCTGTTGTGAAAGAGAAGTGGCAAATCAGCACATCTCATGGGGTCACTGGATAGCCTACCAGACTGCTATGATTTAGAAGGAAGAAGCCATATCATTTCCTCTTTCTTCCACTAAGAAGAAGTGATGTGGCTTCCTCCTTCTGAAGAAGAGAATGAAAATACAAGAAAGAGCAGAGACCGAGCCAAATCCTGCCTTCCCCTACAATGGCTCTCGCACATCTCTTGTCTCAAGTTCTACATCTGTTTCAGCTGTTTATCTTTCTTTTCCAACTTCTTGGTAAGTGCAAAAAGTCAGATTGGCCATTTGCTTTCTGATTTACCTGTTAATTTATATTAATGGGACCGCAAACTATATTGTATGGCTAATGATAGTCACGTAACCCAACTTGTGCCACAGATTGAATTAATGGTATGCTATCTTCTGTGGGTTAAAGCACTGAGCTGCTGAGCTTGTTGATCGAAAGGTCGCAGGTTCGATTCCGGGGAGCGGCATGAGCTTCTGCTGTCAGCCCTAGCTTCTGCCAACCTAGCAGTTCGGAAACATGCAAATGTGAGTAGATCAATAGGTACCGCTCCGGCGGGAAGGTAACGGTGCTCCATGCAGTCATGCCGGCCACATGACCTTGGAGGTGTCTACGGACAACGCTGGCTCTTCGGCTTAGAAATGGAGATGAGCACCACACCCCAGAGTCAGACATGACTGGACTTAATGTCAGAGGACTACCTTTACCTTTACCTTATCTTCTGTGCTTCCAGGGAATTAAGTATAAAGATTGTAACTGAACATGTGGAAATAGATTAGCCTTTATCTTATATATATTTTTACATAGTTGAACAAATAGTACAAATTACATTTTTCTTATTTAAATTCATTGAAAGATCTTTTAACTGGTACTTTATTTATTAGCAGATACAAATACATTGCATCTCGTCACCATGGCCATGATTTGTAAAAACGTTCTTCAGATCCATTAATAATATCTGTTGTTTTTTATCATCTTTATATAATGCTTTCAGATTTTTAAAATGGCAGAACTCTCTGTTTTTCTTGTGCAATTTCGTATTCCATTTTATATTTTTTACAGGTTAAAAAGCCAGATTTGTTGCATTGTTTATATCTCTACCTGAGGAAATCCCAGTGCAAGAGCATTCTTATCCCAAGTTCAGCATCCCTTATCCAAAATGCTTGGGACCAAATGTTTTTGATTCAATCCCTTGATTCAAAGCTCCATGAGTTACTGATCTATTGTTGAAGGCTTTAATGACCGGAATCACTGGGTTGCTGTAAGTTTTTTGGGCTGTATGGCCATGCTCCAGAAGCATTCTGACATTTTGCCTGCATCTATGGCAAGCATCCTCAGAGCCTGTGAGGTCTGAGGATGCCTGCCATAGATGCAGGTGAAACATCAGGAGAGAATGCTTCTGGAGCATGGCCATACAGCCCAGAAAACTTACAGCAACCCAGTTACTGATCTAATTCTGGGTACAAGTGTGGTTGTTCCTTACAAAGTCCAACACAGCTCAGGTTATATTAAGGACCATATTCTCCCTTAAGAGCTGTGTCTGTGTTTAGAGATCATATTGGGAAGACTTTATTTCCATCCCAGCAGCTTTACAGCTATATATAATAGGAAACTTATAGTGCTTATAGGAAACTTGAGGCCCCTTCCTTAGGTGGATAGAATGGTGCCCTCCATTGTGTCCTTCTATGGTTTGACACACCTTTAAGAAGAAGTAGTTGGGATTTTAAGAACATGCTGGATTTTCTGAATGTATAGTTGCTTTCAAATTGAATTCAATGCACTTGATGCTTACCAACAAGTTGATTTTGGCGTATCTACACTGGCCCTTTATCCTGATGTGGGGGGTCAGATGTGTAGAGGCTGGATTACACGCTCTGCTGATTTGATTTCACATAGCCTTGAACCACAGGAACAAAAACTGCAGGTTACTCCAAATTTTCCTTGAGAATCTGGAGACATTTGGCCCATGTAAGCTATTGAGTCAGTCCTGAGATGGAAGTTGCCACAAATATGTCCCTGGATTGGGTGGCCTGGGAACGTGGGATGGCTTGCGGACCCCTTCCTATTCCCATTATAGGGGGGGGGGGGAGAAGTGAAGAAACACCCCCAACCTTTGGTTCTCTAGGAGTTTTAGACTTCAGCTCTCACAGTTCCTAAGAGCTGGCTGGGATATCTGGGAGCTGAAGTCCAAAACACCTGAAGGAGTAGAGTTTGAGAAACACTACCTTAGCGTATCGACTTACATCACAGAAGGGTCCAGACAGCGAGAGGTGACACTTCAAGTCACTCAAACTATTGTTGTTCATTCGTCCAGTCCACGCTGGAGCTCCCTGTTGGCCCTCACCACCCCCAGCTCCTTCAAGGTCAAGCCAGTCACTTCAAGGATGCATCCATCCATCTTGCCCTTGGTCGGCCCCTCTTCCTTTTTCCTTCCATTTTCCCCAGCATCATTGTCTTCTCCAAGCTTTCCTGTCTTCTCATGATGTGTCCAAAGTACTTCATCTTTGCCTCTAATATCCTTCCCTCCAGTGAGCAGTCAGGCTTTATTTCCTGAAGTATGGACTGGTTGGATCTTCGGTCCAAGGCACTCTCAGAGCTTTCCTCCAACACCACAATTCAAACGCATCTATTTTTCTTCGCTCAGTCTTCCCTATGGTCCAGCTCTCACATCCATAGGTGACTATGGGGAATATCATTGCTTTTACTATGCGGATCTTTGTTACCAATGTGATGTCTCTACTCTTCACTATTTTATCGAGATTGGCCATTGCTCTCCTCAAACTATCTAACCCTGTTATTGCTGGCCAGTATGAGGCATTCTTCACTCTTTACTTCTAAGCCTTGTTGCATTTCCAACACTACTTCTGTTCTCATTGCAGTGGAGGCCACTAGGTGTGACACAAGCGAAGTGAGGCAGGAGAGTGGGAATCACTTTGCTCAGAACCTAATTGGCAGCTGGTGGAGTGATTTTAATATGGTATGATCACTTCCACATATAACAGTGACCAATGTGGCTGCCATGTTTTGAGCTAACTCGAGTTTCCAAACTTGGTACAGAGGTAGCCCAATACCTAGGTGGGGGAAAAACTGGGCTTTACTTGCCACAGTCCTGCAAGCCTTCCAACAATCTCTCCCCTGACCCAAACCAACAGAAAAGGATGACATCATGTGTTAAGTCCCACTGTTATCATGCTATTATTGCAGTCTGCCTGCCACGTTTCTGACCTCATCTGATAGGCTGATTTGCTCATCGAACGCCACTTGCTCTCCACTTTCGACACAGAGCCTTTTGATACAAGGTACAGAGACTTCTGGCTGAGCTCCATGCTGAAAGGGGAGAGCAAGCAGCATACGCCAGCACCGCAGCAACACGGAAGGACTCCCATGTTGCCTTAGGAGCAATGGGGAGGGGGGGAAGCTGGGGGGTGTCGCTTCCTCCCATGGGATGGAGGTCATAGTAAGGCGGGTGATGAGTCGCCTGCGGGCTGAGAGGGGTGGTATATAAATATACTATGGAAGTAAATAAATAAATGTAGGTCGTGGAGCAATGGGTTCTCCATGTCCCCCACTGGGGCCTCATGGATTCACCACTATTTTCCTAAAAAGGAAATCAGCTTGTTTAGCAAACTCTGCAAATGCTTATTTATTATCAGTAAATATTTGGTTTTTATTTGATAGACCCAATGTTGCGCAAAGCAGTTTCAGACAGAAAGGGGACCTGAAAAGATTTCTTGTGTGGAAAAGGGTCATGAGTGGAAAATGTTTAAGAAGTTCTTCTCTTTGTTGCAGGTGCCAGAGGCCAGACACCAGAGATAATACAAACTCCAGAGACCTTGTCGGTGTTCGCAGGAGAAGAGTTAACTCTGAATTGTTTATTGAGAGGGATCGGAAGGCCAGGAGGGGTCCGGTGGTACAGGGGTCCGGACAGAAACCAACCGGCCATTTATACTCAAAGAGACGCCTCTCCTCGAGTGGCGAGGCTTATTCCTATATCCCCCACAGACTTCTCCATCACCATCAGTAATGTTCGACCTGAGGATGCTGGGACCTATTACTGTGTGAAATACAAAAAGACATCAGGAACAGAGGTGGAAGAAACTGCTGGGAAAGGCACCGTCGTTTCTGTGATTGGTAAGTCCTGCTCAAGCTTTCTTTTTTAAAAAAAAATCAATTAATTGTATATTTTTATACAGGTAATCTCCACATGCACATGGGGCATTTATTCATCCTTAATATTAATAATACTTAAATTGACCTCTTCTCGAAAATGGTAATGTATGTTGATTTAGTTTTATTCCTTTTCCCTTGACAAATATATGTTTTAAGGATTTGCTCCATATTGCTTCAAAATCATTTCTTTTTGTTAATCCCCTTTTGCATTATATTTCACAAATTGGTCTATCATTTATTGCAATGTTGCATACCTCTTTGTACATGTTGTAACCTGGCAAGCCTCAGATGATATTTCTGAGGGTTCTGAGGATGAGTTTCAGAGGATGATAGATTGCAAAGGGAGGAGTCTGTGGAAGCTACCTGAGGACTGCAGGCAAATGAGGCAGGTGTAGATATTTTGGATTCCTCGGATCGTTCCCAGGCAATGGGGTGAAAATAGCAGTTCCCTTGAAAGTGGAAATAGCACTTCCCTTGAGAAATGGCCTGAGAGGCCTTGGGAAGATAATGGGGGAGACAGTGTTGGGGAGTTTTCAAGAACTAATAGATTGGAGTTGGGAACTTAGGATGTATGAAATAACAAGATTTTCTCAGAGGCTTTGAGATAAAGAAAAGAGAAGAAGCAGGGGCATGTGTCATGATGTCATGGGTGAATTGGAGGGTTTAAACTGAATGTTTTGTTCCCTTTAGTGGGAACAACGTTGAAATAAGGAGATAGTCTCCTGTTTATGATCTTCATGTTTCATGTATTTCAAGATTTCTGGTTCATGTTCCTGTTTAAGACTGTATTTCTTTGGAGATTTTGCCTTAGTGTGGTTCCTGTTTTCCTGTTTATGGATGTAACTTTTGAATAATCTTTGAGCTTTGGCGGGAAGGTAACGGTGCTCCATGCATTCATGCTGGCCACATGATCTTGGAGGTGTCTGCGGACAACACTGGCTCTTCGGCTTAGAAATGATGAGCACCAACCTCCAGAGTTGGACACAACATGACTTAATGTCAGGGGAAAACCTTTACCTTTACCTATTGCTAATTTGTTTATAAATGATTTGGAAACAAAGTCCATGTTGAATCCCATAGAAAAGCTGGTATTTGACAGCATGATAAAATATTGTAGGTACATAGATGATGTGTTTATCATTATGCATAACCAACAAACAGCACTAGAGTTATTAATATGGGCAAGTACCATTCATCCTTTATTTCCTGGAGGATGGACTGGTTGGATCTTCTCGCAGTCCAAGGCACTCTCAGAACTTTCTTCCAACACCACATCTCAAAAGCATCGATCTTCCTTCGCTCAGCCTTCCCTAAGGTCCAGCTCTCACATCCGTAGGTGACTACAGGGAATACCATGGCTTTGACTAGGCGGATCTTTGTTGCCAGTCTGATGTCTCTACTCTTTACTATTTTATCGAGACTGGACATTGCTCTCCTCCCAAGAAGGAAGCGTCTTCTGATTTCCTGGCCACAGTCTGCATCTGCAGTAATCTTTGCGCCTAGAAATACAAAGTCTGTCACGGCCTCCACATTTTCTCCCTCTATTTTCCAGTTGTCAATCATTCTTGTTGCCATAATCTTGGTTTTTTTGATGTTTAGCTGCAACCCAGCTTTTGCGCTTTCTTCTTTCACCTTGATTAGAAGGCTCCTCAGCTCCTCCTCACTTTCGGCCATCAGAGTGGTGTCATCTGCATATCTGTGGTTGTTAATGTTTCTTCCAGCAGTTTCTATCTCTTCTTTTCTTTGACATTTTCTCCCTTTTTGTATTGTCCTCAGTTTCCTTTTTGCACTAGGACGTTCTTTCATGGTCACCTTTGACATAAATCTGTATCACTAAACTTCCTTCTTGCAAATAAAATAAAAAGCTCACTCCATCTTCTCGATTCCAATATTTAAAGATGGCTGGTGTGCCACCTGTCAGTCTTCTCTGCTCCATGCGAAATATAACAGCTCCCTTACCCATTCCTCATACAAAGGTGCTGTAAACAAGGGCCATTTCCTCTTACAAAAGGTGCCTCAGGCCGAAATTGCATCTAGAATTGCAACCAGTTCAATGTTCCCTGCATCATTTCTGTGACATTTCAGTGGAGGGGTGTAGTGAACTCATACCTTTGCTTCGTAGGCCGCAGCCTGGGAGTCAGTGAGTGGGCCTCCATGTTGAGAAGGCAGCTCAGGATAGCTGACATGTTAGTAAAGGCAGGGAGGCAAGGGGAGGAGTCAGTTAACTCCTGATAGGATCAGACCCCTAGGGGAGGAGTTCAAGGAGTGTGTAAAAGGCTGTACTTTCTGTCAGAGGGAGGAGAATGATTTGATCTTAGGAAGAGATGGTTTTGATCTAAGAGAAAGAAGAGGGATTTGATCCGAAAGAGATAGGATTGAGATTTCAGGCAGGGAGAAGTGAGTTTCTGAGTGAGTTGAGAATTGGAATGACAGGGAATAATAGGGGACAAATGCTTCAGTGTACTTTGGCTTGGGCAGTCAAAGGGAAGACTTGTTGACTTGTATTGAGAGAGAATACAAGTGGGTTTATTTCCCTACAGTGCAGAGTAGTCTAGAAGGAACCTAGTTACTCTCGCAGGCAGCCAGGGCGGCTGGTCTAAGAAACACACTGTCACTTGTTATAGGATAGTGTGCGGAAAGTAGCTCACGCTAAAGAAAAGTTACTCCTCCTATAGAAACCATTTGTTTTATAAGTCTGTGGCTCAGTAACCAACTACGCATTTGTACCTCTCAGTAATGAGTTGTCTGTTTCAAATATTTCAATAAACCTGATCTCTAGTTTACTTTTAATCTGCCTCAGCCTTGTTTTGTCATATAAAGCTAGTTCCAGTCAGCCTCTACATCTCTGCAGTTCAGTCACAAGAAAGGGAGCCAAAAAGAAGAACCGGTGTATAGGGACATTTTACCTCAAGTACTACAACAAGTTAATTCCTCAATCAGTGATTTGGGGTGGTGGCAGCAAACCTACCATACACACTCACCTTTCTCTCTCATCACTTGTAACACCCTCGCATATTCCTGTCACACAGGAGCAATAAGAGACCCTGATCTCTTGACCCTCTTTACAAGGGGCATAGGCTAATACTTGAAACAAATTTTATCTCCAGCTACAAGGCAGAATAATAATAATAATAATAATAATAATAATAATAATAATAATAATAATCTTTATTTATACCCGACCACCATATTGCCCGAAGGGGACTCAGGACGGCTAACATGAGGCCAAGCCCAAAGATACAATACAGCAAACTAAAATACAAAATACAGACAACAAAAATTACATCAGAATAAAATACATACAGTAGCCAAATAAAATAAAGCAAATTGACATCATATAAAATTGAACACAATGGACAGGCCATATGAACGAGGTAAAATGATAAAACCCTAGATGAGGTAGGATTAGAAAAAGGGTAATTGAGAGGAGCCCAAAAAGGATGAACAGTGGGGTTAGGCTTTCAGTTTAGGACGGGGGAAAGTGCATCATAGGGGCAACACTGTAAATGGAACAAACATAAATGGGATAAATGGTCACTCTCCAAAGGCACATCGGAAGAGTCAAAGTCAAAGCTGAAATTAATCCCAGTCCAGCCCTACTTTGAATCCAAAAGAGATGCCCTCGGATGAATCTTAAGGTCTTGACACTGATTTCTTTGGCTTTGTTTGCATGGTTCCACCTAATTGTCCAATTGGAAGTTGACCCGTCTCTTTTTGCCCATCTGAATGATGTGGTGACCCTCACCTGCAATATGGAGGATTTTTATCTAAATGACATAGAAGTCTTCTGGTTTGAGAATAATAAAAGTGAGAACCGATGAAGCCATGACCCAGAATTTGGATGGGTTGTTTTCTCTCAAGAGTTCACTGGGGACATTATATTGATGTGTGATTTCTCTCTCCCTTCTTCTTGCAGCGACACCTTCGCAGCCACTTATCCAAGCACCCATCAGCCGAGTGGAGGCGGGGGCCTCGGTGACTTTCAATTGTACCTCCGACCGGTTCTCTCCCCGAGACATTACAGTCACCTGGTTGAAGGACTCGAGGCCCATCCAGCCCTTGCGGACCACCGTTCGCCCGGAAGGAGAGAGCATCTCCTATGAGGTTTGGAGCTCCGTGGAGGTGCAGCTCGCGAAAGAGGACGCAAAGTCGCAGCTCATCTGCCAGATTGAACACAACACTTTGAGAAGTCCCTTGAAGCAGAGCTTTAGTCTTGGGGATGTCCTCCGAGGTACTGAAACTGGCAGGGCTCTGGGTTCCTGATGGGGTACGATTGCAAAAAAAGGGGCAGGGCTGGTGCATATTGCATGTCACGGAGAAAGAACAGGGTGTTATGAGACCTTTGGGACTTGGTGTCTTTGTTGTTGTTTACCTTTATAAATTGCTTCCATTCCTAAGTGATATGGGCATGGTACATACAGAATTGGAAAATCTTGGAGTTGGAAGGGATCACTGGGACTTTCAAGTCCAACTCCTGCCATGCAGGAAGCCACAAATACAGCACTGTTTAAAGGAGAGTCCACAAGTCCCCAAGACAATCAGGTCTCCTCTTACAGTAAAAGAGTTCTTCCTAATATTTAGGTGGAATATGTTCTTGTTATTTGAATCCACTGGCTTATCTTCAGCAACAGAAAGAAGTTTATTTTCTTTAAGCTATCCATTTAGATATTTAAAGCTGACTATTCCGTCCCTTCTCAACCTTTTGTGCTCTTTGAGAAACATACCCATTTCCCTCAGACATTCCTCACAAGGCTTATTTTCCAGACTATTGATCATCTTTCAAAATAACAAACCCAATAGAAATTAGCATGCAAAGGGATCCTGGAGCAACTGAAAGGAAACAAAGTTAGTGGCAGAAGCTTTCCTAGATAAAGCCTGCTTCCTTCTTTCTCTCAATTAGTCTATACAGTGCTACAGGATCCCTTTGCATACTGATATCCCTAGCTAATATGGCTATGTCTTTGGCTTCTATCTCAGTAGAATCATAGAATCAAAGAATCAAAGAGTTGGAAGAGACCTCATGGGCCATCCAGTCCAACCCCCTGCCAAGAAGCAGGAATATTGCATTCAAATCACTCCTGACAGATGGCCATCCAGCCTCTGTTTAAAAGCTTCCAAAGAAGGAGCCTCCACCACACTCCGGGGCAGAGAGTTCCACTGCTGAACGGCTCTCACAGTCAGGAAGTTCTTCCTGATGTTCAGATGGAATCTCCTCTTTGTAGTTTGAAGCCATTGTTCCGCGTCCTAGTCTCCAGGGAAGCAGAAAACAGGCTTGCTCCCTCCTCCCTGTGGCTTCCTCTCACATATTTATACATGGCTATCATATCTCCTCTCAGCCTTCTCTTCTTCAGGCTAAACATGCCCAGCTCCTTAAGCCGCTCCTCATAGGGCTTGTTCTCCAGACCTTTTATCATTTTAGTTGCTCTCCTCTGGACACATTCCAGCTTGTCAATATCACCACCACCACAACAGTCTGAACACGCCCATCACATGTAGTTTCAAAAGATAAGTGGAATTAGTTGTGATTAGTGTTTAGATGATAGATCAGGCACCCTCCAACTCCAATCCTCTGACTCCCAGAATTCCTGACCATTGAACAAGGTGGCTAGGGCTTCTGGGAGTTGGAGGTCCACAGTTTGGGGATGCTTGTGGTAGACCAACAGGATTGAATACCATAGATTGAATGCCATAGGCCTCCAGGTAAGGATATATTAAAAAATATCACCAGAGACTTCGGAGAGCCACTTAGAGGCCCCTTCCACACAAGTGAATAAAATCCCACATTTTCTGCTGTGAGCTGGGATGCCTGGCTCGAGAGCAGTACGTGTGAAAAAGATCTTGGAGTCCTCGTGGACAACAAGTTAAACATGAGCCAACAATGTGATGTGGCGGCAAAAAAAGCCAATGGGATTTTGGCCTGCATCAATAGGAGCATAGTGTCTAGATCTAAGGAAGTAATGCTACCCGTCTATTCTGCTTTGGTTAGACCACATCTGGAATATTGTGTCCAATTCTGGGCACCACAATTCAAGAGAGATATTGACAAGCTGGAATGTGTCCAGAGAAGAGCGACTAAAATGATAAAAGGTCTGGAGAACAAGCCCTATGAGGAGCGGCTTAAGGAGCTGGGCATGTTTAGCCTGAAGAAGAGAAGGCTGAGAGGGGATATGATAGCCATGTATAAATATGTGAGAGGAAGCCACAGGGAGGAGGGAGCAAGCTTGTTTTCCACTTCCCTGGAGACTAGGACGCAATGGAACAAGGGCTTCAAACTACAAGAGAGGAGATTCCATCTGAACATGAGGAAGAACTTCCTGACTGTGAGAGCCGCTCAGCAGTGGAACTCTCTGCCCCGGAGTGTGGTGGAGGCTCCTTCTTTGGAAGCTTTTAAACAGAGGCTGGATGGCCATCTGTCAGGGGTGATTTGAATGCAATATTCCTGCTTCTTGGCAGGGGGTTGGACTGGATGGCCCATGAGGTCTCTTCCAACTTTGATTCTATGATTCTATTATTCTATATGGCAGTGTGGACTCAGATAACCAGTTCAATGCAGATATTGTGGCATTTTCTGCCTTGATATTCTGGGTTATATGGCTGGGTGGAAGGGCCCAGAGTTGCCACCTTCCGGGCTCCATGGACCTCTGGTTTGACCCAATGTAATGAAGCTTCTGCCTTTTGAAAATAAGAGGCACTTCCTCACTTGCAGCCAAAAATCAACAGCAACAAAATGCAGCCGTGCATTAAATCAAAAAGAAACATTTAAACGGTACTAGAAAAGGAAGAAATAAAGTAGATAGCACAGGTTGAGTCTCATTTATCCAAGATGTTTGAGAACAGATTTTTTTTGGTTTGTATTTGCATCTACATGATGAGTGAGGGATAGCAGGGAAAGGAGACGAATTATGCATCCAGCCTCACCTGAGTTTTTCTCAGGGAATTATCATTCTGCCACAATCAGAAATTTGATGGGGGGAAAGAAAATGTGGGAGTTGAAGTCCAAAACACCTGGAGGGTCAAAGTTTGCCCAACCCTGCTTAGAATCCAAAAAAAAATAATCCCTAAATTAATTGTCATGTTTTGACACAATGTATTTGGCTTTGCTTGCACAGTTCCGCCTAACGTCCGAGTGGAAATCGACCCGCCTCCTCCTGTCCACCTGAACCATACTGTGACTGTCACCTGCAACGTGGAGAATTTTTATCCGAATGATGTCATTGTGGCCTGGCCTGAAAATGACAAGAGTGAAACAGTAACTGATGAATCTCCGGTCCAGCATTGGGATGGGACGTTCTCTCTCAAGAGCTCTCTGGTGGTGAAGGCGACTGAAGAGAGGAATCTGTCCATATTTACTTGCCTGGTCAGACATAATTCTCAGCCTCCAGTTAGCAAAACAGCAACGTTGATCATCCGAAACGACAGTAGCGAGCCCACTGAAGGTGAATGTGTGGAATGACACAACCAAAATTTGGTGCTTTGGTATTTCCACCCGCTCTGCTGAATCCATTCTGACTATCCATGCAAATTGACAGTTTATTCTGCATGTCATCTTGCAGTGGATATACATCTACCATGTTGTTGAGAGTATCTGCATGTAGCCATGTAAACATCAGATCTCTGCACTTAAAAGAAGGCTGTTACTTAGGTGTAGAGCAAATGCTTTGCATGCAGAATAGCCCAGATTCAGTCCCCAGAATCTCTAAGGGAGAACTTGGGAGAGATCTGGTCTGAAACCATAGAGATAGAATCATAGAATCAAAGAGTTGGAAGAGACCTCATGGGCCATCCAGTCCAACCCCCTGCCAAAAAGCAGGAAAATTGCATTCAAAGCACCTGACAGATGGCCATCCAGCCTCTGTTTAAAAGCTTCCAAAGAAGGAGCCTCCACCACACTCCGGGGCAGAGAGTTCCACTGCTGAATGGCTCTCACAGTCAAGAAGTTCTTCCTAATGTTCAGATGGAATCTCCTCTCTTGTAGTTTGAAGCCATTGTTCCGTGTCCTAGTCTCCAAGGAAGCAGAAAACAAGCTTGCTCCCTCCTCCCTGTGGCTTCTCACATATTTATACATGGCTATCATATCTCCTCTCAGCCTTCTCTTCTTCAGGCTAAACATGCCCAGCTCCTTAAGCCGCTCCTCATAGGGCTTGTTCTCCAGAGCCTTAATCATTTTAGTCGCTCTCCTCTGGACACATTCCAGCTTGTCAATATCTCTCTTGAATTGTGGTGCCCAGAATTGGACATAATCACCATCTTTAAATACAGACCAGTCTTCCCCAACTTGGTGCCCTCCGAGTTGTGCTTGAGGCTGAATTTTGGAGAGGAGTTGTTCTCCAACACATCCGGAAGGTACCAAGTTGAAGAGCACACTGATGAAAGTGGACAAGTGCTTAAATAGAGTATTACCTTTGCATATTCCTGTCTCAACCACTGAGACCATGTCTATCAATTCATCCAGATATGCCCTTTTGGACTTCCCACCATTCTCAGCCTTCTCTGTTACCACATCTGGGCTGTAGATCACCAAGTCCCAGGAGATCTAAGTTGTCCCATCTCTGTGAATATTCTGCCCCCCTTTTGAAGTTGCTTCTTTGAGCCAAGCTTGAGACTGCAGCCTCTCTGATCCATGCCATTGCTCCATCTAGGAAATTATTTATCCGTGCTTACATCTTCTGTCACTTCTTGTTCCATCTCATCTCACTTCAATATTGGCTGAGATCCTGCATCAAGGAGATGAAGCGTTAATCCATGGACTTAGGCAGCGGCACAGCAATGTTTGCCTTGTTAGTGGATTGCGCTGTGGCACAACTGAACGTGCAGCCATATTTGCATGTGCAATGCACATCGCACAACATGTAAAATCCCATCTGAATGCACTGTGCACTGACATTTCACATGCAACTCCATTTCTGCATACATAAACTCAATGCTGATGATGTACAGAAGTCTCCAATAGCTTCTGTGGCAGGACAAAACATGTGAAGACTGGCAAATGTTGTTGAACTGTATAGCTGGAAGGAGACTGAGCCTGCAAAGAGCCATCCGCCAGGAGCTGGGGTCAAAGGCAGCTACAAACAACTCACAAACAAATGCTCCAAGACAGCTCACAAGAAGCAGATGCTGTAAACAGCTCACAGCAACAAACTCTGCCTCTTCCTTCCAGCTCCTTGCTGATGTTTCCTTAGCTCTTTGGTAGGTATTGTGTGGCTGAGGCCCTTGCAGGCATCTTCCTTGCAGACACTAGGAGCATAGTGTCTAGATCTAGGGAAGTAATGCTACCCCTCTATTCTGCTTTGGTTAGACCACACCTGGAATATTGTGTCCAATTTTGGGCACCATAATTCAAGAGAGATATTGACAAGCTGGAATGTGTCCAGAGGAGGACGACTAAAATGATCAAGGGTCTGGAGAACAAGCCCTATGAGGAGCGGCTTAAGGAGCTGGGCATGTTTAGCCTGAAGAAGAGAAGGCTGAGAGGAGATATGATAGCCATGTATAAATATGTGAGAGGAAGCCACAGGGAGGAGGGAGCAAGCTTGTTTTCTGCTTCTTTGGAGACTAGGACGCGGAACAATGGCTTCAAACTACAAGAAAGGAGATTCCATCTGAACATGAGGAAGAACTTCCTGACTGTGAGAGCCGTTCAGCAGTGGAACTCTCTGCCCCTGGAGTGTGGTGGAGGCTCCTTCTTTGGAAGCTTTTAAACAGAGGCTGGATGGCCAGCTGTCAGGGGTGATTTGAATGCAATATTCCTGCTTCTTGGCAATGGGGTTGGACTGGATGGCCCATGAGGTCTCTTCCAACTCTTTGATTCTATGATTCTATGATTCCTTTTATCCCCAGCCTCTGGAGGCAGCGGGTGTTTCTGTTGGACTCTTGCTTGCTTCAGTTCAGTCCACTCAGGGCCTGAGTTTGCAAAGAGCCATTTGCCAAGAGATGCCGTCAAAGGCAACTACAAACAGTTCACAAAGAAATGCTGCACAACAGCTCACAAGAAGCTGTCTTGCAGCTGGCAGTGTAGACAAAGTTGACTATAAGACAACATTGGAGAACTGATTCTTAGAAAGAACAGTTTCAGTTGGATCCGTGAAAAATCATACCTTCAAAGGTCAAAACCACATTAATAATAGTAATCTATATAAATAAAAATGTAACGTTTGTGGGATTAACAGACCTCAAAAACCACTGGACAAATTGACACCTAACAACCCAATGTATGTTCTTCACTCAAAAATTGTTTTGATTTTGTCATTTGGGAGTTGTAGTTGCTGGGATGTTCACCTACAATCAAAGAGCATTCTGAACCCCACCAACAATGGAATTGAACCAAACTTGGCACACAGTTCTCCCATGACCAACAGAAAATACTGGAAGGGTTTGGTGGGCAGTGTCCTTTGGTTTTGGAGTTGTAGTTCACCTACATCCAGAGATCACTGTGGACTCAAACAATGATGGATCTGGACCAGGCTCCACACAAATACGCAATATGCCCAAATGTGAACACTGGTGGAGTTTGGGGAAAATAGAATCTTGACATTTGGGAGTTGTAGTTGCTGGGATTTATAGTTCACCTACAATCACAGAGCATTCTGAACCCCACCAATGATAGAATTGGGCCAAACCTCCCACACAGAATCCCCATGAAGGCCACAGTAATGAGTGGCAGGGGATGGCTAGTCTATATAAATAAAAATGTAATGTTCGTCTGTGGGATTAACATAACTCCAAAACCACTGGATGAATTGCCACCAAATTTGGCCACAAGACACCTGCTAACCCAAGGAGTGACCATCACTCAAAAAAATTGATTTTGTCATTTGGGAGTTGTCGTTCTTGGGATTTATTGTTCACCCACAATCAAAGAGCATTCCAAACTCCACCAATGATGGAATTGAACCAAATGTGGCACACAGAACCCCCATGACTTCCCACACAGAACCCCCTTGACCAACAGAAAATACTTAAGGCCATCCAGTCCAGCTTCCTTCACTGGGGCAAGAAAATGTAATCAAAGCCCTCCTGACAAAGAGCCATCCAGCCATAGATATAGATAGTTAGATATGATTCACACACAGAGAGATATAGTATCATAGATTTGAAAGGGACTCATAAAGAAGGACAATTATATGCTGCATGTTCCAGAGTAGGCAAACCAGACACTCTCCACATCAACACTGACAAAGAAACAGCAAGAAATATTGTTTACTCACAAACATTACATATATTAGAAATCAACACCTTCTCATTATTTTCCAGATCACCAGACTGGGCCACAGCAATGCGTGGCCGGGGATGGCTAGTAATAATCATCATCATCACCATCACCATCATCATAATGTGGAATAGGGGTACTTGAGTACAATATCACTTGGAATTTAAACATGTTGCCATTGCATATAAATATTCAGAGTGCTGCATGATAACTTGACAAATAATTCAGATGTATGAAATACAGGAGCTGATGTACTGTCTTTTCCCAACAGATCGACTGGTACACTCCGTCTCCTACCCTTTTGGCCTCTGGATTGGACTTTTCCTGAGCAAGATTATAACTGGTTTCTTCCTTCTTTTCCTTTTTCTGAGAAAAGAGCGTAGGAAGTGAACTCCGTGATCTCAAGATGAGAGTGGCTAGGAAAGTAGGCCATTCATACCCTCTGCCTAGAATTTCTTTCACCCTCCGCCTCTTGTCTGCTTTCCATCATGAGCGATGTGGTGAAGACCTGCCATGGAAAACTTGACACCTTGAACTCTGTAATCTTAGCTCCCTACATTCTGCTCCAAGACAATAAATTGTTTTCCCCAGGATTCAGTTATATACAGACCACACATCTCAAAAAAAGTAGTGTAAGATTGAGAATCCCTGTGCTGGCATGGCAGTGCCAGAACATTTGAACCTCTTTTTCTTGCACTGCTAGTTTATATGAATTTATTTAAGCCATGCTTTTTGCATTCAGGTAGCTTCCCCAAGTCGCAGTCATAGGGCCAGCAACCTGGTAATCATCGTTAGAGTCTTTAGGCCCGCCCTTTTCCCAGGGTTTTGGAGGCAAAGGAGGTCTTTTGTTTAGTCTCACTGTTTGGAGCCTAACAGCATGACGTGTGGGATTCTCTTTCCCACCTGCACAAAGGCTTCACTTCTCACAGCTCTGCTGGGGCAGTAAAGGAATAGTTCCACAGCTTTTGCTGGGGGAATACAGCCAGCCTTTGCTGGGGCGACAGGACAGTTCCTACAGCCTTCGTGGAGTAATCTAAAGGACACCTTTCAGCTTGGCAGATCGACAGAAATCTTGTCTGGCAAGGGACCACTTGGGCTATCCATAAAGTAACTTGGAGCTGAGAGTAGGGGCCTCACGCCACCAAGGTAAAGAAAGATTGCCCAGGGAGGGGTCAGAAGATTTCCCTAAGGAAGAAAGGAACAGTTTACCACCAGTTGCCTGCCCTTGATAGCAAATTGAGGAAGCTACCGGTTTTCCAAGGTTATAAAGCATTTAATTCATTTGTTTGAAGATTTAGGCCCAAATAAAGAACTTTGTTGAACTTATTTTGAACCTCAATAGAACTTTGTGTTGGGAAATCTAAAGGGCCCTTCAGCTGAGGCACCCCGGCGTCCCGCTGGGCATACAGAAGGCACGTCCTGTAAACAGACATTATTTCAGGCCCAGCTTGCGACAGCACAATCCCTTATCCAAAATGTTAGGGTCCAGAAGTGTTTGGGATTCCCCACCCCAATTCTGGAATCCTTGCAGCTGCATAATGAGTTGTCTTAGAGATGAGACTCAAATTTAAACAGAAAATCCATTTATATGTCATTCATAACTTATACATATAGTCTGAAGGTCATTTTATATGCAATATTTTAGAGAATTTTGTGCATGAAACAAAGTTTGTGTACACTGAATCATCAAGAATCAAAAGCATCACTGTCTCAGCTACCCATGTGGACAATTTTGGATTTAACAGGGATATTCAATCCATAACAAACTTGTTAGCTGATATGCAGCTATTTGTAACATTCCTGGTAGCCCAGTTTGCACTGGCAGCTTCATCCTCGCTTTATATTGTAATATAAAGGTCAATTTTACATTGGGTTGTTGTAGGTTTTTTTGGGCTGTATGGCCATGGTCTAGAGGCATTCTCTCCTGACGTTTCGCCTGCATCTATGGCAAGCATCCTCAGAGGTAGTGAGGTCTGTTGGAACTAGGAAAAAGGGTTTATATATCTGTGGAATGACCAGGGTGGGACAAAGGACTCTTGTCTGCTGGAGGTAGGTGTGAATGTTTCAACTGACCACCTTGATTAGCATATAATGGCCTGACAGTGCCTAGAGCAAACTTTTGTTGAGAGGTGATTAGATGTCCTTGTTTGTTTCCTCTCTGTTGTTGTGCTGTTGTAATTTTAGAGTTTTTTAATACTGGTAGCCAGATTTTGTTCATTTTCATGGTTTCCTCCTTTCTGTTGAAATTGTCTACATGCTTCTTGTGTATTTCAATGGCTTCTCTGTGTACTCTGAGGGCTAATGTTGCCTTACAACATAGCAAAATGTATTAATTAATAATACTTATAATAATATATTATACATTATTATTATTATTATTATTATTATTATTATTATTATTATTATTATTTCCATAGCACCATGTACATACAGTTGCTGAGATGCTCAATCTATATCCTTTCCTGCACTAAAAAAGGGGATAATGTTGCCTTACAACGTAACAAAACGTATTATTATATTATTGTTATTATTATTTCCATAGCACCATGTACATGCAGTTTCTGGGATGCTCAATTTATATCTTTTTCTGTACTAAAAAAGGGCTAACATTGCCTGACAACATAACAAAATGCATTAAATAATAATAATAATAATAATAATAATAATAATAATAATAATAATAATTTCATAGCACCATGTAGATGCAGTTGCTGGGAAACTCAATCTATATCCTTTCCTGCACTAAAAAAGGTGTTAATGTTGCCTTACAACATAACAAAACCCAGTGATTCCGGCCATGAAAGCCTTCAACAATACAATTTTACATTCTTTGTTAGTTTTACAGGGGATCTGAGGATATGGTTTTAAAGTTATTTTTAATAATGTAATTTTAATTTTGTTCACATTTTATGCCACGGTAAAGACTTTTGGCTGTATACATTGATCTTCACAGTGATGAAGACTATGATATAGAATCCTATAAAGCCCTAAACGACTCTGGCCCAATTTACCTGTCCGAACATATCCTTCCCTATGAGCCATCAAGATTACAAAGATCGTCTGGAGTGGCCCTGCTCTTGATCCCACCGACCTCACAGGTGCGGCTGGTGGGGACGAGAGACAGGGCCTTTTCGGTGGTGGCCCCTCGACTCTGGAACTCCCTTCAACTGGAGATCAGAACTGCCCCTTCGATCTTAACGTTCAGGAAACAGGTGAAAACCTGGCTTTGGGGATTGGCATTCAACGAATGAGCCATGATCCTGTGATATGGATGGATGACGATGAATAATAACTTTGATGACAACTGACCACTGTAATCATATGGTTGTATTTTTGCTATTTTAATTGTTTCAATGTTTTAATGTGATTTAGAAATACGATGTTTTAATGACGGTCTGTAATATTGATGTTGGAAACCGGCCCCAGTCCCTCGAATGGAGGTGAGAAGACAGGTATACAAAACTACCAAATAAATAAATAAATAATGTTTCCAGTGATACTAAATCTAAAACCCAATCCATATTCAAAAACCCTCTGCTATGCAGCCACCAGACCCTCCTGTCTGATGACAGGACCAATTTCGACAGTTTTCAACTTGCTCTGTCTGTGCTCTTTGCTCTTTGTTTCCTAACCTTTCTTGCAACAAGCAACAATCTTTTCCCATTAATACCCTTGACATTTAAGAAAGGGATGGTCCAGTCTGGTCAGAAGTTCCCCTTTCTTATCATCTCCTCCCCTCATTTCCAGAAATAAGCAGAGTGCCCTTCCTTCCTTGTTCTAGAACAGCATAATTTGAATTTTAGCAACATGTTAAAACTTGTAATTTTTAAAATTTTATTCTATAGATGTTGAACATTTAAAATATATTTAAATACTCAAAATCTTGAAATGTTCAAAACAAGAGTACTCATAGCATGTTACCCCTCTATTCTGCTTTGGTTAGACCACACCTGGAATATTGTGTCCAATTCTGGGCACCACAATTCAAGAGAGATATTGACAAGCTGGAATGTGTCCAGAGGAGGGTGACTAAAATGATCAAGGGTCTGGAGAACAAGCCCTATGAGGAGAGGCTTAAGGAGCTGGGCATGTTTAGCCTGAAGAAGAGAAGGCTGAGAGGAGATATGATAGCCATGTATAAATATGTGAGAGGAAGCCACAGGGAGGAGGGAGCAGGCTTGTTTACTGCTTCTCTGGAGACTAGGACGCGGAACAATGGCTTCAAACGACAAGAGAGGAGATTCCATCTGAACATTAAGAAGAACTTCCTGACTGTGAGAGCCGTTCAGCAGTGGAACTCTCTGCCCCGGAGTGCGGTGGAGGCTCCTTCTTTGGAAGCTTTTAAACAGAGGCTGGATGGCCATCTGTCAGGGGTGCTTTGAATGCAATATTCCTGCTTCTTGGCAGGGGGTTGGACTGGATGGCCCATGAGGTCTCTTCCAACTCTTTGATTCTATGATTCTAAGAGGTTGTGTTCCAGGCGGTCATATATCCGGTGAGCCTGTGATGTTTTGAAATTCCTTTTGGCTGTTAGAAATTGTGGGATAGTATCTGTGTCTCTGAGATTCCCCACTGAGGAAGATATTACGAGATGCTGATTTCTCATTAAGAAATACTGGAAGGTGTTGCAACTTTAAAAATCCCACTTCCTCCTGCAACTGAAAAGAGAACGTGCACGTTTGAGGGCAAAAGTGTGCCTTGGGTTCCACCGCTATTAATGTCAACCTCAAGACACATCTTTGACTTCCATATATCTATTGCTCCTCTTCCTCTTCCACCTCCTTTGCAGGCGTGACTGGGGGGAGCAAGAGACAGGGCCTTCATGGTGGTGGCCCCTCAGCTGTAGAATTCCCTCCTCAGCGATGTTAGATCAGCCCCCTCCCTCCTGACCTTCGGAAAAAGTGAAAACTTGGCACTGGGATCAAGCCTTCAGAGAAAAACCATAGTGCAATTCGATTAACTGGAACTATGTGGAATGACTACTGGAGTGACCTGGAATATGATGGCAGATTGCAGTTTTATTTGATAGTAATGTTTTAATGCAGTGGTTCTCAACCTTCCTAATGCCGTGACCCCTTAATAAAGTTCCTCATGTTGTGGTGACCCCCAACCATAACCCTAAAACATTATGAATCGCCATGTAAATAATGATTTTCATTCACGGGAGCAAATTTGGCACAAATATCCGGTATGCCCAAATTTGAATACTGGTGTGGTTGGCAGGGGAATTGATTTTGTCATTTGGGAGTTGTAGTTTCTGGGATTTATAGTTAACATGTAAACAAAGAGCATTCTGAACCCCACCAACGATGGAATTGAACCAAAGTTGGCACAGAAAACTCCCATGATCAACAGAAAATACTGGAAGGGTTTGGTGGGCACTGACCTTGAGTATGGGAGTTGTAGTACGCCTACATGTGGCTTCCTCTCGCATGTATAAATATGTGAGAGGAAGCCACAGGGAGGAGGGAGCAAGCTTGTTTTCTGCTTCCCTGGAGACTAGGACACGGAACAATGGCTTCAAACTACAAGAGAGGAGATTCCATCTGAACATGAGGAAGAACTTCCTGACTGCGAGAGCCGTTCAGCAGTGGAACTCTCTGCCCCGGAGTGTGGTGGAGGCTCCTTCTTTGGAAGCTTTTAAACAGAGGCTGGGTGGCCATCTGTCAGGAGTGATTTGAATGCAATATCCCTGCTTCTTGGCAGAATGGGGTTGGACTGGATGGCCCAGGAGGTCTCTTCCAACTCTTTGATTCTATGATTCTAAAACTTCTGTTGCAAGATCTCTGACAATATGGGAGTTGTAGTTCACCTATCTCCAGAGAGCACTGTGGGCTCAAACAATGATGGATCTGGACCAAACTTGGCAGGAATACTCAATATGCCCAAATGTGAACACTGGTGGGGTTTGGGGAAAAATATACTTTGACATTTGGGAGTTGTAGATACTGAGATTTATAGTTCACCTACAATCAAGGAGCGTTCTATCTAATTCTAATGATAAAATTGGGCCAAACTTCCCACACAGAACCCCCATGACCAACAGAAAATACTGTGTTTTCTGATGGTCTTTGGCAACCCCTCCGACACCCCTTCGTGACCCCCTCAGGGGTCCCGACCCTCAGGTTGAGAAACACTGTTTTAATGTATTTAATTTTTATTTTCATTTAAAAGTATTTTAACTGTATATTGTTGTGAAGGCATTGAATTATTGCCTATCTGTAAGCTGCCTTGAGTCCCCTCTAGGGTAGAGAAAGGTGAGGTATATATACAGTAAATAAATAATAATAAATAAAATTATTCTTTATGAAAAAATAGTGGAATAAATATAGCAGTCTCAAAATATAGGATTTTTTAATGTTGAAATTATCCTCATCCAATGAGAACTGCTGCGGTAATCATGTTCAATCTAGAAAATGGACGAAATCCTGTGAAAGGTATCTGATGTGTTCAGTCTTTTGTGTTCATTAGTGGTTATATTACAATTCACATCTAACCATTGCCTTCTCTATCACACTCACACACACACAGTGTTCTCCAAAGATCATCGAGAAACATCTCTCATGACATACTGGAATTTCTGAAGTAAAACAACATGAAGTCTGGGTTGTTGTAGGTTTTTCCGGGCTATATGGCCAGGTTCTAAAGGCATTTTCTCCTGACGTTTCGCCTGCATCTATGGCAAGCATCCTCAGAGATAGTGAGGTCTGTTGGAAATAGGAAAATGGGTTTATATATCTGTGGAATGACCAGGGTGGGACAAAGGACTCTTGTCTGCTGGAGCTAGGTGTGAATGTTTCAACTGACCACCTTGATTAGCACTTAATGGCTTGGAAGTGCCTGGGGGGAATCTTTTTTTGAGAGTGATTTGATGTGCCGGATTGTTTACAGATTGTTTACAGTCTCTATCCTGTAACCAGGCCTAAACTCAGACTGCGACAGGTCTAGATAATGTTACATCCAAGGATCCCTGGAGCTGGGTGGCAACCAGCTCCAGTATCCCCGGTAATTTCTCCAGAGACAGATAGGAACAGCAGAAGGGCAACATTCCTGCCGAGTATTCCACTATTCCAACTTCCTAAGCTTTTGCATTTCTTCTATCTCTACACGGTTGTCAACATAATGAAAGATACTTTCAGATCCCCCAACCCCAAACGCAAGCACAGTCTCAGTTCTACTAAAAATAAATAAATATATTAAATAATATTAAATAAATAAATGTAATTAAATTGCCAAAGGGAAAAAATGGGAATTGAGTCCAAAAGCAAAGCAAGTGATCCTAAGAGCAGTGACGGCACTGAGACAGAACACGGAGCACACGATCTGTCTCTCTCAGAATGCCACAGGAAAATGGAACTGTGCAAAGTCCTATTATTTACTACTATAAGACTACAATTAAGTGTTTGTTAGGAATGACAAAATAGAAAGGCAAAAACAAGCACACCACGCACAATGAAAGATCAACAAACGTCCCACTCTCCATCTGATAGTTATTCTGTTAGTTTATTGTTTTTAAATGACATTGCATCATCACACTTCTGCTTTTGAAAACATTCTAATAATTCATGAATTCTACAGCTGAATTGTTCATTAGAGGTAAAGGTTTTCCCTTGATTCTTCTTTTCCTCTCCTCTTTTTTCTTTCCTTCCTTTTCCCCCCCTTTTCTTCTTTTTTTTCTTCCTTTTTTTTTTCTTTTTTTTCCTTCTTTCCTTTTTTTTTCTTTTTTTTTTAAATTTGTACACATTTTTTTTCAATTTTTGCAAAATTGATGTGCACATTACAATATATGGTGAATTATACTCAAGTAAATACCATAATTACTTAGTAGAAACTAGGCTTGGGCGGTTTCGTTCGTTAATTTCGTAATTCGTTATTAATTCGTATTTAAATTAGCTTACGATCCAATATTGAGCCATGCAGGAATAGTGTGAGGAGTAATTAAAATTCAAAACAATTTTTTCAATTTATTTCGTAATTATTTTTTTTCAATTCGTTTCGTAATTGTTTCGAAATCGTTTCGAAATCTTTCGTTATTATTTCCGCATGTCTGGTGCAAGTTTTATAGTTGTTGTTTGTCTTATCAGTGAAAAAAAATAATTATCACACCAACAGTCAACAACAGAGGGAGAGGGAAGCTTCAGAAGTTCCCCCTGTCCCATTTGGAGGTTTTTTTAGCATTGCGCAATCGCGTCCGATCATTAACGAATCGATTCGAAATTAACGAAATTTCGTAAATAACGAAATTTTGAAATCTCAAAATTTCGGAAGTATTTAGAATTTGGAAACGCTAGCGCCCCCTGGAATCTCCATTTCTAAGTCGAAGTGTGAGTGTTGTCCTTAGACACCTCCAAGGTCATGTGGCCAGCATGACTGCATGGAGTGCCGTTACCTTCCTGCCGGAGCAGTACCTATTGATCTACTCACATTTGCATGTTTTCGAACTGCTAGGTTGGCAGAAGCTGGGGCTGACAACGGAAGCTCACGCCGCTCCCCAGATTCGAACCTGCGACCTCAACAAATTCAGAAGCTCAGCACTTTAACCCACTGTGCCACCGGGGGCTCCTAATCTTATTGTAAAAAGGTAATGAGGAAATCCAAATATTTCTTAGTTATTCAAAGATTTCTCCTTTATCAGCGTAAGTCCATTTGTCCATCTCAGCAAATTCATAACATAGATCTTCATAGGACATTTTGGGCACTGGAATAACCTGCTTTTTTGATCTCTAAACAGTTCTTGATACAGTTCACACATCACGCAACAATCTTCCAAATTTCCTTTCTGAATGGTCGTTCAGCATACCAACAAATAAAACTCTAGTCTCGTTGTAAATTTAACTTCAATGACATGGAAGTCTTTTCAACCTGTAAAAGAAAGAAGATTTAGAAAAAACAGAAAATTCCAAATACCGAGTATGAACTATAATTCCCAGAATTCTATAGGAAGTTACAATGGCACTAAATTTCTCTGTGTTGTGAAATTCTGTTAATGGCATGTCAATCCAGTAATAATGTTGGAATGGCATCTTCCCAAGACATATTCCACTTGTGCAGCTGGCAAGCAACAGGGGCTTGTCAGAAATCCAGAGCTCATCGTCATCATCATCATCATTTAATTACTTATTAATCGCCCTCCATCCAAGATGCTCTAGGCGATTTACAAGCTAAATTGTAAAGGATAAAAATACATACATACAGATATTGATAAAATTAACATAGATCAAAAGCTCTAGTAAAAAGCCAGGTCTTAAGTCAGTGATGGGCAACCTTTTGAGCTTGGTGTGTCAAAATTTGCCCAAAAACTGAGCATAACTTGGGTAGTGTGTCACTTTGAGAAAAAAACCCATCATTTCACAATATTTAAAAGTTTAAATAACAAAAATGTATAATTGCAATATATAGTATAACTTTAGGCAATTAGGGGATAACTAGCCTAACTGACCACAAGACGGCCCATGTAATTGTCTTTTAGGAAAGGGCAGGGTTAATAAGCAGAAATAGGGGTTCATAAGGATGCACAACAGTAATAGTGGTGAAATGGAGTCTGTACTATGCTGCAAGATGGCGTTGTTTATGTGAATTAAGATGGCTGCCGCTATTTCTAATGGTGGGAAATGGCACCCATAACACAGGCCCTTGCCTCTTCCAGCTTCCCCCTCACTTATCTCAGTAATGATGGTCAATTAGAAATCCACAACACCCCAGAACAGTAGATTGGATGATGGTTGCTGTGGTTATGTGGTTGCTGGTAATGACGATCACAGGGCCCCCAGAGATGCATCCCCGCGGCATTGCACTGCTCCCTGCTCCACCAGCCAGAAGTGAGGCCAAAGATTCTTTAACAGCCTAACTGGAAGTCCCAGAACTAGATGCTCTGTGCCAGAGTTCTGTTGTATTGGCCTACAGACCTCCAGTATAGAGTGACTACAATACATTACAGCAAATGTTTCATCCTCGGCTACTGCACCTGGCATGCAGCCCCATACTTCTCTGTATGCGGCTGCATGCTGCTGCGTGTCATTGAAAATGGCTACGCGTGTCAGTGCTGACACACATGTCATAGGTTCGCCATCAGGGTCTTAAGTGCTAGGGTAAAAAGCCCTAACTCACGCATGGCTCTCATACAGGGCGGCAATGCAAATCCTGAAGTCTTTTCTAAACACACAAATAAAGAGCTAATATTCTAACTACTGTATTTCATCACATAATAGTCACACACCCGCTTTGATCAAAAAGGGGTGCAAGTATTATGAGATTTTAAAAATATATGTGCCTTTAATTCTCTGGTTTAGTAGTTCCCAACCCTTGGTCCTCCAAGCGTTTTGGACTTCAACTTCCAGAAGATTCCCCTCCCTCCCTTCTTTCTCCGAACGCAAGGCACTTTACAATATCTTAAGTGGAGCTCTTTTCAGAAAAGAGGGAAGATCCTAGCTCCAGAAACCTCTATTTCCAGGATTTTTTAAATTGCCGGGCAGGAAGGAAGGGGAAAATTCTAATTTTGCCATCTCCAAAATGGAGGTGTGACTATTATGCAGTGAAATACAATAATGCATCTGTCAACATAACATATTGAATCCTGAGGCCTGTAATTTAGGGAGAGATATTTAGAAGTATTTGCCTAGTGTCTCAACAGACTACCAACCAAAAATACTAATTTTGCCATCTCCAAAATGGAGGTGCGACTATTATGCAGTGAAATACAATAATGCATCTGTCAACATAACATATTGAATCCTGAGGCCTGTAATTTAGGGAAGAGATATTTAGAAGTATTTGCCTAGTGTCTCAACAGACTACCAACCAAAAATACTAGTTTTGCCATCTCCAAAATGGAGGTGCGACTATTATGCAGTGAAATACAATGATGCATCTGTCAACATAACATAATGAATCCTGAGGCCTGTAATTTAGGGAGAGATATTTAGAAGTATTTGCCTAGTGTTTCAACAGACTACCAACCAATAATACTGATTTTGCCATCTCCAAAATGGAGGTGCGACAATTATGCAGTGAAATACAATAATTCATCCGTCAACATAACATATTGAATCCTGAGGCCTGTAATTTAGGGAAGAGATATTTAGAAGTATTTGCCTAGTGTCAACAGACTACCAACCAAAAATACTAGTTTTGCCATCTCCAAAATGGAGATGCGACTATTATGCAGCGAAATACAATAATTCATCCATCAACATAACATATTGAATCTGGAGGCCTGTATTTAGGGAGACATATTTGGTTGGTGTCTCAACAGACTACCAACCAAAAAAACTAATTTTGCCATCTCCAAAATGGAGGTGCGACTATTATGCAGTGAAATACAATAATTCATCCGCCCACATAACATATTGAATCCTGAGGCCTGTAATTTAGGGAGAGATATTTAGAAGTATTTGCCTAGTGTCTCAACAGACTACCAACCCCAGGATCTCATTAGGTGTTACCATGACAGTTAAAGAGGAATGCAATGCAGATCCTTTGGGGGCACCTAAAGCAGCTGAATAAACAAAAGCTGTTTGGCCCCAGCTATCTAGGCCCTGCGTTTGTTTGTAGTGTGCTTTTATCCCCAGGTCAAACAACAAAGACCTGGGGCCCATGAACTACATTTCTTTTTGTAGCAGCCACAGGGCTGGTCCTCCCCACTCAGCAGAGGAGCACCAAATTTGACAAGGCTGCATTGTGTAGTCCTGATTCCAAATGAAAGATTAACAACCGGGTTGCAAGAAACCGTATAGAACTGACTCTGAAGTTTAGCAGGAGCCAAACTGGGACTTACTGGTGGCCTGAATGCTAACCTGTTCATGTATATGATTGAGGAGACTTATCTTTTGCCAAGACAGGGGACTCTGGGATATAATCATGCAAAAAGAAAAAACTCATTAGAATTTTATACCAACAACTTCTAAATTGGTCAACTGAAGAAGAACAAATAAAACAGTCAAATCAAATGGGCAAAAGCCTTAGGTCATAACATTCTTACAAAACAATGGGAAGAAATTTGGAACAATAAAATAAAATACAGTTGCCTCAGATTTACGAGAAAATCGGTATAAAATTGGTACCACACTCCTGTAAAGTTGGCCAAATTTAACAAAAATCTACCAAATCGATTTTGGAAATGTAACAAAGAGATAAGGACTTTTTTCCACTCATGGTGGAGTTGTAAACGAATAAGTAAATATTGGAAAGAAATTCATCTACTAACCCAAAAAAATCTTAAAAACTAATTTCTCCCAGACACCGGAAATGTACCTTTTAGGCATATCCAGTTTAAAAATGAATGAAAATCAGGAGAAAATGTTTTTTCCTTTTATGTACGGTGGCTAGATTATTACTAGCCAAAGTATGGAAGCAAAAAGAAATTCCTACAACTGAAGAATGGATTATGAAAATATTTGATATAATTCAAATGGACAGCTTATCTCAAAAACTGAACAGAACGCAAAAAAACTCAGATTGGTCAGGTTTCAAATACTTTATTGCAACAAGGAAAATGACACTAATAATAGATTTGTCCAACATTTGGAAAAGACTAACAAAACAAAGTATCGCCGGGTTAATTACAGGAGAATATGAAGCTACGAAGATCAATACTCTCTGAAGACCTTGGGAAGTCCCCCTACAAACCATTTTTCTCTTCCTTGGGTTTTCTTGTTGGTTTATTTTTTTATGGGGTATGGATCTTTAATCTATTTTAAACTTCACACTGTTCTCTTTATTCTCTTTTTCCCCACTTTTCTTTCTATAAAACACTTGTTTTCCCCCTCTTTCTATGTAAATACAAAAAAGGCACAATAAAATTATTTTAAAAAATAAAAATAAATAAAAATAAAACACCTTTCTTAAAACAGAGCTCACTGATTTGACATTGCCCATGAAGAGAATACATATATATAAACATAAATATATTCCTCCTGTATGAATGCATGATGAACAGCGGCATCTGGAGACAGATCCAAAAAGTTGCTGAATTGTCCCCTAATGTCCCCACTCCAATTCCTTCTCCCCAATATCAAAGTTCTGCCACAAATTTCAGTAACCACATAAATGAACCTCCAAGCCAACCAAAATCCATCCTTTGCCACTCACCTGCACAAGGCCACAGAAGCAGAATACTGAGACACTTAAAGCAAGTGGAGAGCATGATAAGTTTCTATGGAGCATCCCAATACAGTGCAATTGTCTGTCTAGGTATGGTGGAAATTCAGCTTCCTTAAAGAAAGAAAAAGAAGTTATTTTGGCAGGTAGGGTGCCAGAACAGAAGGTCAAGAGGCATGAGTAAGGATATCTTATACACTTAAATGCCTATTCACATTCTACTTTTTCTAGTTCTCATGCTTTGGTTCCACCTTATTTCATTTGCATGCGTTACCTGTTTCCCCAAACATATCCCCAAATTCTTTCTAATGCAAAAGAAAGTATTTCCACAGTATCATCATTCTAATGAGCCAGGTTTTTTTTGGATCCAAAGGCAATAAGCACACCAAATGGTTATGCCAGAAAGAAAGAATGCTAATTTAGGAGAAAAATGGGGTCTGGTACCAGTGTTTGCAGAAAAACTATCCCCAGAACCCACAAAGAGTTCTGAGGCCCATGAACGACAAATATTGCTGTGGCAGCTGTTTGGACCAATGCCGACCACGGAAAAGGCTGGCAAAGAATTTGACACAGCTGCACAGACCTCACCAGGTGAAGGGAGTCCCCAGTCACAAGGATTTGAATGACAAGTCATTTTGTGGGTAACAAGGCAAGTGAAAAACTGTTTGCTAATTAATTTAAAAGCAAGTATTTATTATCTCAAGAGTGCTAGAATAATAATGCAAAGCAGACTTAAAGCAGATCACAGTATGAGGTCAATCTGTATGAGGAATTACCCTGTGACTATTTATTTAAAAGTTTATTTGCTTTCGATTGTGCAAACCAAGTATCCTTTATCCAAAATGCTTGGGGGCAGAAGTATCTTGGATTAATGTATTGTCGAAAGCTTTCATGGCTGGAATCACTGGGTTGTTGTAGGCTTTTGGGGCTATATGGCCATGTTCTAGAGGCATTCTCTCCTGACCTTTCACCTGCATCTATGGCAAGCATCCTCAGAGACCTTACACCTCTGAGGATGCTTGCCATAGATGCACAGAATTGTTGACGATATGTGAGGCCACTATGAGTCCCTCTCGGGGTTGAGAAGGGCGGGGTACAAATATGGTAAGTAAATAAATAAGTATATATGTATAGATTTCAAGATATGTTAAAGCTGGGACTTAAGTCTAAACATGACACTCATGTATGATTCATATACATCTTGCTCATGTAAGGTTCAACAGCTACCTTATATGCAATTTTTTGACCATATTGTGCATGATAGAAACTTTGTGCACACTGAACCATCAGAAAGAAAAGATGTCACTGCTACTGGCAATCATTTCAACAATTCTGGATTTTGAAACTCCAACTTAGAGAAACTCAGCCTGTATTTATCCTCACCTCTATCTTATCCTCCAGTTGGTCCATCAATGCAGGAGAGGAACGACATCTCTTTCCAAACAACTTCTAGGCGCTTTGGCCGTTGACTAAGAAGCTTACTCTGGCTTCCCATCATGCTGCCAATCACTGTGCACCTGCACTCTGTCTGGAAGCCTTTTCAAAGATGTTTTAGTCACAAGCAAGCCATCTGCGCTCTTATCCTCCTCGCTTTGCTGCACTCAGGGAATTAAGATTGTTCCAGAACGCTTGCCATGAAAGCTTAGGAGCCTTTCCAAACCTATGAAAAACTGGACAGAAGACAGGAAGGTTTAATCAGAAATCAAAGAGATTACTAGTCAATACTGTGGAATGGACTGCCTCAGAGAGTGTTGAAGTCTACTTCTCTGGAGGTCAACAGAGGTTGGATGGCCATTTGTCAGGAGTGCTTAGTGGAGCGGTCAACTGTCCTATTTAAGGAGTTCCATTGGCTGCCGTTCATTTTCCGGTCCCAATTCAAGGTGCAGGTTCTTACCTACAAAGCCCTGAACGACTTGGGACCCACCTACCTGCATGACCGCATTTCTGAGTACGAACCCACACTATCTCTTTGATCATCTGGAGAGGCCCTGCTCACGCTCCCACCTCCATCGCAGGCGCGATTGGTGGGGACGAGGGAGAGGGCCTTCTCGGTGGTGGCCCCTCGACTCTGGAACTCACTCCCCAAGGACATCAGGCATGCCCCAACTCTGGCAGTCTTTAGGAGGAGCCTGAAAACATGGTTGTTCCAGTGTGCCTTCCCAGAATAAGGAAACTCCCAGCAATATGTCCTTAAATGCACTTTATTAATGATCTAGGAGTTTCAGAGAGTTTTCCCTCTCTGAAAACTGTATCCTAGTCATATTTCACCTTTTCATGCTCAGCATTATTTTTAAATTTTAATTATTACATTTGGCCCAGCCACTGTTTATGAGTTTTATTTTATTGTTTTGTATTACTGTTGTTATTGTTTTTACTGACGTATTGTGGGCTTGGCCTCATGTAAGGCGCACCGAGTCTCTTGGGGAGATGGTAGCGGGTACAAATAAAGTTGTTGTTATTATTATTATTATTATTATTATTATTATTATTATTCCTGAATGGCCCGAAAGGGCTTAGATTGGATGGCCCTGGGATCTCTTCTAAGGCCCACTTCTACACTATATCCCAGGATCTGATTCCAGGTTATCTGCTTTAAACTGGATTATATGAGTCTCCACTGCCAAATAATCTGGGATAAGTGGAAAATCTGGGATCAGATTCTGGGATATAGGGGCTGTTGGAAATAGCAACCCCCACGCCTTTCACTATTTATTTGTTAATGTATAAATTTGCTAATCTGTATTCTATGTGTATGTCGATTTGCCAGTTTGATTTACCTCTTTGGTGTGGGAGTGGTTATAGACGTGGTTATACTGAGCATTTGCAGACTTAGGATTCCATTTTATATTCCATCTGCTTACCACTTCATTGGAGGTGGATGTGTGTGCTTATGGATTTTCGTGAGTACAGTTATATGCTTGAAGACATTTAAAGACTATGTGCATGTATGGTGAATATATACAAGTTTGTTTTAGTAAACAAGAGATCTTATTTTTAAAGACTACTTTGCTTTTTAATCTCTGAGTGCATGTTTTAACTAAGTTTTCAAGGGAGTGTATATCATTTGGGCAACTGCAAGGCTGATCTGGCCGGGGTGGTCCATGCCTTGGTCACCTCTAGATTGGACTACTGTAATGCGCTCTACGTGGGGCTGCCTTTGAAAATGGCTTGAAAATTCCAACTGGTCCAACGGGCAGCAACCAGGATGCTAACCGGGGCTCCTTACAGAGAGAGGTCAACCCTCCTGTTCAAGGAGCTCCACTGTCTGCCGTTTATTCTCCGAGCCCAATTTAAGGTGCAGGTGCTTGCCTACAAAGCCCTGAACGGTTTGGGACCATCCTACCTGCGTGACTGCATCTCCATTTATGAACCCAAGCGCTCACTGCGTTCATCCGGAGAGGCCCTGCTCATGATTCCGCCTGCGTTGCAGGCGTGTTTGGTGGGGACAGACAGGGCCTTTTCTGTGGTGGCCCCCCGACTCTGGAACACCCTCCCAAAAGATCTTAGACAGGCCCCTACATTGGCAGTCTTTAGAAAGAACTTGAAGACCTGGCTGTTCCGATGTGCCTTTCCAGAATAGGACTCCAATAACAAGTCCCAGAAGCACTTTATTAGAACTAAGATTGCTGCACACCGCACATTGCACTTACCCTATAATCCTTACATATCACCTGTCACATCAGCACTTTTAATCCTGTACCCATTACTCTGGCCCGGCCCAGTTTTATAGTGTCTTGATGTATTGTTTAATATTGCTTTAACTGTTTTAATTTGCTTTAGGTTTTGTATTGTTATGTTGTGTTTTGAGGCCTTGCCCTTTGTAAGCCGCATCGAGTCCTTCGGGAGATGTTAGCGAGGTACAAATAAAGATAATAATAATAATAATAATATAATAATACATATCTATATCTATGGCTGGATGGCTCTTTGTCAGGAGGGCTTTGTCTACGTTTTCTTGCCCTGGTGAAGGGAGTTCGACTGGATGGCCTTAAGTATTTTCTGTTGGTCAAGGGGGTTCTGGGTGGGAAGTTTAGCCCAATTCTGTCGCTGGAGGGATTCAGAATGCTCTTTGATTGTAGGTGAACTATAAATCCCAGTAAGTACAACTCCCAAATGTCAAGGTCTACTTTCCCCAAACACCATCCGTGTTCATATTTGGGCATATGGAATATTCGTGCCAAGTTTGGTCCAGATCCATCATTGTTTGAGTCCACAGTGCTCTCTAGATGTAGGCGAACTACAACTCCCAAACTCAAGGTCAATGCCCACTAAACCCTTCTATGAATTGTCGAAGGCTTTCATGGCTGGAATCACTAGGTTCTTGTGGGTTTTTTCAGGCTATAGGGCCATGTTCTCGAGGCATTTTCTCCTGACGTTTCGCCTGCATCTATGGCAAGCATCCTCAGAGGTAGTGAGGTCTGTTGGAACTAGGAAAGTGGGTTTATATATCTGTGGAATGACTGGGGTGGGGCAAAGAGCTCTTCTCTGCTGGAGCTAGGTGTGAATGTTTCAACTGACCACCTTCATTAGCATTTGAAGGCCTGGCCGAGCCTGGGGGAATCTTTTGTTGAGAGGTGATAAGATGTGCCTGGTTGTTTCCTCTCTGCTGTTTTGCTGTTGTCATTTTAGAGTAATTTAATACTGGTAGCCAGATTTTGTTCATTTTCATGGTTTCCTCCTTTCTGTTGAAATTGTCCACATGCTTGTGGATTTCACCATGTCAGACTACACAGAGAAGCCATTGAAATCCACAAGCAATTTCAACATGGCCATATAGCCCGAAAAAACCCACAAGAACCTAGTAAACCCTTCTAGTTGTTCATGGGAGTCCTGTGTGCTATGTTTGGTTCAATTCCATCGTTGGTGGGGTTTTATTTATTTATTTATTTACATCACTTATATCCCGCCCATATCAGCCCGCAGGCGACTCAGGGCGGTCTACATATTGGCACAATTTGATGCCATCAATACAATACAACAGCAAAAACAATTAAGTGCATTTAAACAAAAAAGACAGTGCAATAAGAATTTTAAAAGAGGTATATCCTCTCAATCCAATCCTCATCCGTTTCATTGTCTTGCCCGTTCCTGGGTCATTCTCCATCTCAAGCTTGACTATCTATTCCGGGGTTCCGAATGCCTGCTCGAAGAGCCAGGTTTTCACTCTCTTACGAAAGGTCAGGAGGGAGGGGGCTGATCTAATATCCCTAGGCAAGGAGTTCCACAGCCGAGGGGCCACCACAGAGAAGGCCCTGTCTCTCGTCCCTGCCAAGCGTGCTTGCGAAGCAGACGGGATCGAGAGCAGGGCCTCCTCAGATGATCTTAACTTCCTGGGGGTTCGTAGGAAGAGATGCGTTCAGATAGATAGACTGGGCCAGAACCGTTTAGGGCTTTATAGGCTAAAGCCAGCACTTTGAATTGAGCCCGGTAGCAGACTGGCAGCCACTGGAGCTGATGCAGCAGAGGAGTTGTATGCTCCCTGAGCCGCTCCTGTTAGCAACCTGGCTGCCGCACGCTGGTACTCCTATCAGAGGATGCTCTAGCAATAAATTTGAAGTCTAGAACTTCATATTTTTTAAAATATTCTTTTGCAGGGAAGGTCCAATGAGCCGGCCACTTCTTACCGCTCAGTTCTAAAGAGGGCTCCTGTATCCGCTGCTGCAGGCCCTTCATGCTTCCGGGCCGTCTTCAAAGGCAACCCCATGTAGAGCGCGTTGCAGTAATCTATGTGGGATGTAACCAGAGCGTGGACTACCGTGGCCAAGTTCAGAATGCTCTTTGATTGTAGGTGAACTATAAATCCCAGCAACTACAACTCTCAAATGACAAAATCAGTTTTTTTGAGTGAAGGACATACATTGGGTTGTTAGGTGTCTTGTGTCCAAATTTGGTGTCAATTTCCAGTGGTTTTTGAGTTCTGTTAATCCCACAAACGAACATTACATTTTTATTTATATAGATTGCCTTATTTAACATCAACCAATAATTATTAATCACCATTTCAAGCTACTTAAGCTTAAGTAATAAGTAACACTAATAAGCTAACGTCGTACTTGCTCTGATCACGTTCAAAATTCAGAAATAATCGAATATTATACAAATAAAACAATGAAATCCCAGGAAGAAGGCCAGCAGCGTGCTCACTTACCAAGAAACAGCACGGAAAAGGAAGTTCTGGGGGAGATTGCGTCACTTCCCTTGCTGTGGGCGGGATACTTTTCCCTTTCCCGGCACTGATTGGTTGAATGAAAGAAGACCGACCGGAAACGCTTCGGACGCCATCTCTTTTGAGGGCAAATAGGAAGAAAAGACCTCGCTTTCCCCGCCCACGGAAGACTACTGACCAATTATATTGCGAGGCAGGACTTATTGCTAGGCTGCGACCTATTGGATCAGAATCATAGAATCATAGAATCATAGAATCAAAGAGTTGGAAGAGACCTCATGGCCATCCAGTCCAACCCCATTCTGCCAAGAAGCAGGAATATTGCATTCAAATCACCCCTGACAGATGGCCATCCAGCCTCTGTTTAAAAGCTTCCAAAGAAGGAGCCTCCACCACACTCCGGGGCAGAGAGTTCCACTGCTCAACGGCTCTCACAGTCGAGTATATACAGTATTCGTTTTGAGATAGCTCAATCTAATAATAATACATTTATTATTTGTTGTTGTTCATTCGTTCAGTCGTCTCCGACTCTTCGTGACCTCATGGACCAGCCCACGCCAGAGCTCCCTGTCGGCCGTTACCACCCCCAGCTCCCTCAAGGTCAGTCCAGTCACTTCAAGGGTGCCATCCATCCATCTTGCCCTTGGTCGGCCCCTCTTCCTTTT